AGAGAGAGAGAGAGAGAGAGAGAGAGAGAGATAAACACAAACCGATTTCTACCCCTTACAGTACATATCACAAAGAAGAAGAAGAAACTCTAACAAATGAAAAGTAATCAGAAAACATACTCTCATATGCTTATTTTTCAGAATATTAGGTATTAGATTTATGGTCTTATCAGCCAAAATCTGGTCAAATACAAAGTACGAACAAAGTCTGTTGGCCATGATGTTCTCATGACCCAAAAAAGCTCTTCAGCAAGCAATCTCAATAGCTATCGGATTCCACTTCTTCATCCTACGACTTCCTGATCTGATATCCAGGAGAAGCAGCCGATGTCAAATCGAACTACGAAGAAGTGAAGGTTAACCAGAAGAGACTCACGTTTTTGTTCTTGAGCTGAGGTTGAGCGATCCTGCCCATCTAAGAACATGAATAGAGCCTGATCCAGCTCTCCCAAGTCATAAGATCCAGACTCCTTGTTTCTACTGTATCATATCAGTACAAAGTTTCTGGTAAGCAAAAGCAACTAATTCACAGCAGTATTATTTCTGAGATGAAAATTAAGCTAACTTAGTTGAGTTTTACTTGGAAGAACTCGAAAACTTAGATTTAGTTGAACTTTGGTTTATGACAATTCAGCTATGCATAAAGCGTACATCAGCTATAAGACGATCATGAAGAACTTTTAGATGTTTATACATCAAAACCTTAAATTTCTTGCCAAAATCAAGACTTTTGTGGCTTGAGATATTCCTACACCATTAAAGAACATGTTTTTTTTCATAGAAGTAAACGATTCTAAGCATAAATTTGGCTTTCTTTTACTTGATTCACATGAAATAGAATCCTAAAGTACGAAATTTCAGAGACCGAAATCATGCATTCCCTTTCCTCTTGATCACGTTTGGAAACAAACAACTCTTCTCTCATCATCAAAGCACACAAAACAGAAGAAAAGAAGAATTTTTGAGACACGCCAGGGGTTCAGCTCCGGCGAGATGAGTGTTACATGAAGCTCGCATGAATGGAGGAGGAAGAAGAAGGTGAAGGATGAATCATGGCAAAGGAGATATGTTGCTGCTGCTGTTGCTGCCGCCCTAAGCTGGAGCTCCCGTTGCTTGCCATCAAAATCCGAGCTAGCCTCCCTTTTCAGGTCTCTTCTTCTCTCTCTATCTCCCCCCACCCCCACTTCGGCCAAAACAGCCCATTAATGGCGAAACCGACTTCGTTCTTTACTCGTTGGTGATCTCTCTGCACTCCAAATGGTACAGAAAAGCCAACTTTTCTTCCCCCCTCTCTCTCTCTCTCTCTCTTTCTCTCTCTTCTCCTCGCAATCATAAAACTACTTACCGCGATTCCTACCACTGAAACACCAAGACTTCCATCGGGGCGGTAAATTGACCGCTCTAGCCCAACCGGAGAACGGCGACGTGAGACGGTTTTCGGGGTGACTCGCTGAAAATAACGGCTGTTATAATCTCATTAACGGAAGGGATCGTAACCGTTATAATCGTTGCAGTAATTTCAAGGCCGTGTAATCTTATTGTAACGGTCACCCTATGATGAGACTTACTTTTATGGTATAAAATTTCTTCCTATTATTATTAGTAAAAAAATTCTTTTATTCAATAATGACCATTATTTTATATTTTAGTCAACATCACATATTCCGACTTTATGCCACAACACCACCTAATACCAACCAACATTACCAAATACATGTGAATGATTATTGCGCAATTTTTTTTAGGAAAAAAAAGTGATAAAAACAGAGTTTGATCACAAGATTTTATTATTAATGGTTAAATCTTTATCGGTAAACTAGCTAATATCTCTAAATGATATTTTCAACTCGCGACCCTTAGTAAATATGTCTAGTTAAATGTATATTTTAGATATAAATAAAAATATATCGAATATCATTTTGAATCTCAAAGTTAAAACTCGATAAGAAATATAAAATCAGGTAGTCACCCTTCGTTACGTCAATATCACATAAAAGTCAACACCCTCTTGTCTACGTGCATAGGAGTCTAAAAGATAACTTAAGTTAGTTATCAAATCATTTCTGTTATGAAATATTCATAAAAATATTTTTCAAAGTTTAAACGCAAATTGAGTCGGTTACAAATTTTGAATTCTTAATTTTTGATAAATTAATAATATTTTAAAAGTAGGATTCAGCCAATGAGATTCCATACATTTAATCCTTGGTAAACCGACGTCGACCAACTCAGATGATGGAATGTGACGAGCACTGACCTCGTTGTCGGACTCCTGTCTTGCATGAATGAGTGTCACACACGTACGCTACACCTGACTCTGCAAATAGTGTCTGATATGTGATAACTTAACTGCGTTCGGCACTTACATTAAATGGTAACGTTGACATATCACAGTTGACAATTAGATTTGACACCAACGACAGTAAAAATAGTTTCCTAAATCCCCATGCTGAGATTCATTTATTATTACTACAGTGACGGTTGACAACTATCAAAGAGCTAACATAGAGGACAGTGTGGTCTATTTGTGTGTGAAAGAGGGTTGGGTTGACGATCGACACTCTCTCGGTCATCTCTTGCTAGTCCCACGCTACATGAGACAGTATAGATCGACATCATACCATAAAAGTTTGAATAGGCTAACCCACACTATAAGGGGTTGTATACGTTGGCCACCCACATGAATGTGTGGCAAGAGGTACAGGCAGCCCTTGTAACCGTAGTTTTCTCCTGTCGACTCTGCAGGTATAAAAATCGATCCCTGATTCCTGAAGAGAGGACGATCCTAAAAAAAATTCACACTAGATATAGAACCGATTTTTCATTAACTAATTTAAGCATCAGAGGGGTCGGATCGAGAATTCCTTCCGATATCGACTTGTTGTGTAGGGTCCCGACGAAGATCAAATCTACTCTAGCTTCACCTTGGGATAACTTCAAAATCACCCTCGCCAGTCCTTGCTCAGTCTCAGCCACTCCGTCTCTCCCTCGAGAGGACTCATATAGATGATTTCGTGCTTTCGGGATAAGATCGAGTCAGTACCGACTTTTGGTCCGTGACATCAAGTTGTTAACATATAGAATCAACTATCCAATATTGTTAGGTAAACAACACATTTTGACATGGCTTGCAAAATTGACCACGCAAATACAAAGATATATGTGTATAAATATTTTAGTAAGATGGCACAACATGTCAAGGATCTTATCAACCACTCCACATTATTGTTGTGTGTGGGTTTCGACTGACGGGTAACAAAAAGGGAGGAGGATGTCTGACAATTACAACACAAACATAATAAACTTCCATTAATTTATCTATCCGAGCCTGCGATCAACATCAAGGCAGTTCTACTGTGTTGATTATTTAGAGAAAGATATTAATGGAGTAGGAAAGGGAAGCTTTCTGCCCTTTGCGTGGCAAGAGATAAATGGATTAGGTACATCAATAACATATCTTTCAGCAATGTCCCATACAACATATTCTTAGGTCATCTAAGTTTGTGAGGTAGAACTTGATGGGAGATAGATGGAGACCGCAGGCGAGCGCATCTCGCCCACTCCCCTCGACGAGAAAGACGCTGACTTGAGAGCGATCGCGCGAATCAGAAAGCGTGCAGATGATGATGACACAGCTACAGAACTAGAACTGCTTTCTCTGTGCATACCATTCGTGTGTCCTTCGAAGTTGTCTCCTTGTAAATTTCTTTGATGCTGAACATTGTAATCACTAGTACATGTTGCAAGTTTAACGCGTCTGCTCCATGGCTTGGAATTCTAATTACTCGTTTATTCCGTATACTTGTTGTTTTTTTATCTTGAAGAAGAAAACCAAGTTCCCAACAAGTTGGATTTCCGATGCAAAATTTATTTTGAGACAAGGAATATAATTTCATGTGCCGAAATGATATCGATGCTCAAACCGACGTAGATCTCATCCATGTCAACGTAAGAAAGGGAGGAAAAGTGAAGCTGAGACGGACGAGAAACAAAATAAATGAAAGTCAAGTACTCCTAATCATTTTATGGGGAGTATATTATCAGTATCCGACGAAAGTTACCCTCTACCCATCTGTCCACGTGGACAATGGCCCAAGACAGATAATTATGAATTTTTCCTTCTACCCTTTTCGTTCACATGAAAAAGAGATAAGGAAAGACGGTTAGAGATGGTTCGAGACTATCTCCCTACAAAATATTTTATGAAATAATTTACCCTTTTATGATTAGGTATAAAAGTTTACCTTTAACACAAAGAAGGGGAGCAGGACCTTTCTTAACCACTCGCATTCATACTCATACACCTTAGGTTACTAATTTGGGTGTTGGAGAGACCGATTTAGGAAACCTTTCTTGACCATAGTCTTCAGACATTAATGACTTCTTTCCTAATATTTTTGGTGCTACGAGGGCTCAATGTTGCAAGAACATCCACCCACCAACCCTCTCAACGAATACTCAAGTAAAGAGGCTTTGTCATTGACCCATAATACTTTTACTAAAGGGGGTAATAGTACCCTTTTATATGTATATGTGGATGCATCCATCTCGACGCAAACGCCGATGTGATACTGGCATTTGTTCAATGACTCATGTTTCTCACCCCTTGGGGCGACCTCTAGCCACCTGCTTGTCCTTGTCGAGGTGTTTTGAAATCTCATCTAGCAAGTGCAAATGCTAACATACATGATACAGGTCATCGCTCCACTTTTGTCCCAATTAGGCCAATAGGTGATGCTAACAGCTCAACCACGGGCACGGGCTCAACCACCACCGACGTCGACACCCATCGAGTTTCCCCCACTCAAGGTGGTGTCAACATCCCAATAGCACCCAAGGCTCATTGAACCGTAGGTCTAAAGGGCACTTGGCTCCCCAACCGTGAAATTCAGTGGACCACACCATCACTCTATTCTACCTAAATCCGAGATCCAGTTGGCAGATTCGATAGATGATTCCTTGTAGATCCAACTACGATAGATGGATCGATGCTTGGAGGAGATGCGACGAGAGTTTCAACAATCCTAGGAAGAAGCGTTGGTCAACTCCACCTCGGGTCGATCGCCATTCACCTAGAAAATCCAAGAAGAACCAATTTCAGCAAACTTCCGCCTCCTATCATTGGAGGCATTCGATGGTAGTGCCAACCCAATAGAGCATATTGCAGCTTTTCAGACCTAAATGTCATTATATGTCACTTCTGATGCTTTGATGTACCGCACCTTTCTGATCATATTAAGAAGCCCAAACACGAGAATGGTACACCTACTTGAAGTTGCTTTTCATCAATTCTTTTGCTTAGCTTGTGAAGGAGTTTGAATTTCACTTCCTCAAGAACGTGTACTCAAGATCATCAAAGACAATACTTCTTGGACTAAAGTAAGGGGAGAATGAAGCGCTTCCAGACTTTTTCGCTCGATTCACTAATGAAATCCGAGGTGTGAAAGATGCTAATCCATCATTCATAATTCAAGTCTTTATGATGAGATTCGCGCCCTTTTGTCTCTTCTGATCATTGGAAGAGAGGCCATCGGTGACGGTACCAGAAGTACTCTAGAGAGCCAATTATTACATTGCCATCGAGGCGATGATCTCGACTAAGCGCGAGGAGTCACGCAATAGACTGAAGTAGAAACAACCACAATCCGCCTTGACCCCGAGGTCACCGTGGCAAAGGAGGAACAAATAACCCGAGTCCCCAAGACTGAGCTGACCACCCCTAAATATGTCTAGAATTGAAGTTTTTCTATAGATAAAATAGAATGAGCTCTTAAAAGACCCTCACTCAATAAAGACTCTATTTGTGAAGGTTCGAATACTATCGGTTCCACTAGGATTATGGCCACGACACAAAGGATTATCATGACTTGGAAGAACAAATTAAATAACTCATATGTTAGGGACACCTCGAGCGGTTCGTCCGAAAATTCTAAGAACCCTAATGCCGACCTCATGGGTCGGTAGAGAGACAAATTGACGTCATCATTAGTGAACCCACCTTGTATATATGTATATATATATGTATATATATATATATGTATATATATATATATATGTATATATATATATACACATATATATACATACATTTATACATATATATACATGTACATATACATGTATATATGTATATATTTAAATATATATATATATATATATATATACATATATACATATATACATATATACATATATACATATACATATCAAGGTGTAGGTATAACAAGTTGAGGAAAGAAAGTTTCATTACTTGAAAAGACTACATCAATTTGGTTGAGCCTCTACATCCAAAATGATACCTTGACATATTGAGATAAAGACGAGTCAGGCAGATAAGCCCGACGATGCAAGAAGGAGTGAGTATAGTAGGTAAACTCGATGACTTAGTAAAGACCAAAACCTTAAAAGGCAAGATATAAATCGCCTCCCCAGCTCGAGGCGTGTGAGTTGAAAAAACACGACCCACATAAGGAGAAATCCACTACGATGATGGCACAAGACAAAATATTCTCAAGACACGTGTTAGGAAAACTTGACCCATGTAAGAAGAAACCCACCATAGTAGGAGGCATAAGATAAAATGTGTCTGAGGCGTGTGTATTGGGAAAATCAGATCTGTGTAAGAAAAAAATCCGTCACAATGGGAGGTCTAAAACAAAATGTGCCTCGGACACCTGTCGGGAAAACCTAACAAGCGTAAGAAGAAAACTACCACGGTTGGTGGCACAAAACAAAATATATCCGATGTGCCTAAGTCGAGAAAATTTGACTTATATAAGAAGAAACCCGTCATGATAGAATGCACAAGATAAAATGTGTCCGAGGTACATGTGTCGAAAAAACTCGACATGCATAAGAAAAAACATGCCATAGCGAGAGGTATAAGATAAAATATACTCGAGACGCATATGTCGGGAAAATCAGACCCACATAAAAAGAAATTTATCATGCCGAGAGGCACAAGACAAAATGTACCTGAGATGCATGTCAGGAAAACCTGATCCGTGTAGAAAAAACTCACCACAGTAGGAGACACAAGACAAAATGTGCTCGAGGTGCATGTGTCAAAAAAATCCAACGCACGTAAGAAGAAACCTGTCACGGCGAGAAGTATAAGACAAAATGTACTTGAGGCATATAAGTCGGGAGAACCTAACCTTCGTAAGAAGAAACCCACCATGGTAGGAGGCACAAAACAAAATGTGCACGAGGCGTGTATTGAAAAAACTTGACCTGTGTAAGAAGAAACCCACCATAGCGGGAGGCATAAGACAAAATGTACCTGAGACATGTGAGTCAGAAAAACCTGACCCACGTAAGAATAAATCTACCATGACGGGAGGCACAAAACAAAATATGCACGAGATGTGTGTATCGAAAAAACCTGACCCATGTAAGAAGAAATTTGTCATGACGAAAGGCATAAGACAGAATATGCCCGAGACGTGTGAGTCCGAAAAACCCAATCGCCATGAGAGTAAAAATGTTACGAAGAAAGAATTTTGAAGCATGGAGGTCAAGTGTTGACCCATCCTTTACTCAAGGTGGGTAGGCCATTGCCCAATGCAGAACATTGGTCTCGAGGCTCATTGGTAAATTATTTAGGAAAAAAAAGGAAAGAAGAAGAAGGAAAGAAAAAGGACGCGGGCACCTTAGGTAGAAACCAGCCCCCATTGCTCTAGGTGAGTCCCTCACGGATGAGAAAAGGAAGAACCCACTTTCGCACCACCTATGCAGCCAGCCTCGACTCCTCTCACAGCTTGCCTCGATGGTGAACATAAGAGGAGGGGCAGGTTGGTGATGGACCGCCTCTAGTGGCAATCCTCTCGTCTGTGACCACCGTTGCACCATGGAGGTTGAGAAACCAAACCCCCTCCTCTGCCCAAGGCACAAAGGTCGAGAAACTCGACCCTCTCATCATCACATCGTAGAGGTCGGGAAGCTTGACCCCTTATTTCGTTTGAGGCGTCAAGGTCGGGAGGCCTAATCCCCTTCTCCGCCCGAGGCGTGGAGGTCGGGAGGCCTAATCCCCTTCTCCGCCCAAGGTGTGGAGGTCGGGAAGCCCGATCCCTTCCTTCGCCCTAGGCATCAAGGTTGGGAGGCCTGATCCCCTTCTCCGCATAAGGCGTGGAGGTCAGAAGGCACTCCCCCGACCTCTGCCCAAGGCATGGAGGTAGGGAAACCTAATCCCAACCTCCACTTGAGGCACCGAGGTCGAGAAACCCACCTCCGCACCACCTATATAGTTTGCCTCGGCTCCTCTCGCAGCTTGCCTCAATGGTAAGTAGGAGAAGCGGGCAGGTTGGCGATGGGGCTATGCAACTTCTCCGCTGCATACCCATTGCCGAACATGGGTTCCTCATGGATGAGTAACGAGGGAACCTACCTCCACACCACCTATAGCTCATCTTGGCTCCTTTCACAGCCCACCTCAATGACAAGCATAAGAGGAGGGGTAGGTCATCTTGGCTCCTTGGCATAGGTCAACAATGGACCACTACCAATAACGATCCTCTCCTCGCCTACGACCATCGTCGCACTATGGAGGTTGAGGAGCCCGACACGCTCCTTTGCCCGAGGCATGAAAGTCGAGAAATTTGACATCTCGCCTGTGGTCATCGTCACACTATGGAGGTTGGGAGGCCTGATCCCTACCTTCACTCGAGGCATGAATGTCGAAAAGCCTGATCCCTATCTTCGCCCAAGGCATGGAGGTTAGGAAGGCCTGACCCCCACCTCTGCCCAAGGCATGGAGGTCGGGAAGCGTTACTCCTGCCTTTGCTTGAGGCATGGAGGTCAGGCTCAACCCCTATCTCCACCCAAGGCGTGGAGATCAGGATTGCCTCCGCCTGAGATGATGGGTCAAGAAGCTCGATCCTCATCTTTGTCCAAGGCATGGAGATGAGAATCGCCTCCACTAGAGATACCGGTGCCGGGGGGGGGGTTGTGCAATCCCAAACGAACATGTCAAACAAACTAAATATATCACCAGATTAACAATGGATCAAAGAGGTATAAGTTTGATATATTAGATGAACTAGACATCGTTCTTCGAATCCCTCTTGTAAAAGCCTCGAAACATGCCTTTGGGGGGAGACAAATAATGGAGAATACACCGTTAGCTAATCATCAACTAACACGTAACCACCATGTGATGTTCAGGATAGAAGGGGAAGACAAAATAACACAAATGCTTATGTACCAAGATACATAAGCATGCTAAATTAAAATTTAGAAGGATAAACACAAAACTCACGGACAGGCACAAAAAGAGAAGCATTTGTAACCTTCAAGTGCTTCCGGTGTAGCATCAGATTAAATCCTCATTCTAAGAGTGGACAGACAATCATAACTCAAAAGAGTCGTGATGTCTAGAACAATGAGAAAGAATGTCACATCAAGCATGTTACCAATTGTGTAGGCACCTACAATAAATCATTCTCCCTACGTGAACAAGAAAGTGAATAGACCAACCATTGTCAAGACGTTTAGGGACCTTATCTTGTGAGATAGACTGTCAGAGAGAAGAACATACATTAGCAATCTAGGCGAAGAAGACTAAAGGAAAATGTAATGACAAGAATTTTACTAAATTATGTTCCCAAATACTCCATAATGTCATCATCATGCAATATGTCACCAATATCAGGTATTGGGCTGCTGATCCCAATTAAATCTAATGGCAATCCAAAGGAACTGCCATCAAACCTATCCGGTTCAGTGTAAAATGATCCATCTACGAATAGATGCATGTCTCCAGTGATTGTATGTGAATTCACATTTGGTGTCGTCACATGGTCATAAGAATTATTCCCCACAGGAATTATGCTATCGTCAGACATTACCGAATGACCAGGAACAAACATAGGGTATTGCTGCTTATCCTGCAAGATACCAGAGCCCCCTGATGACTTATAAAATCCATAGTTGGACCCTGTGTTAATTGTGGTAGCAAATTCCAACTCACTATTCCCAACTTCTGGATACTGTAATGGTTGGTCATCAGTAAACATGTTCCCTGCAGCAACATTAATAGAAGGGATGCTTGCAAAGTTGCTAATGGCAGATTGTGGTTCAAGGTTTTGGTTTTGGAGATCTCTTCCTTGGTGCCTTGAATTCGGATTCATATGGGTCTCATGGCTGACACTTGGTGCGTGATGAACCAACAAAGACATGTCTGTGTCGTTCATATCTGGAATAGCGTTTCTCGTCTCCTTTGGTATGTGCTCATTCTGAGTTTTAGCTGTCTGCCTGTCAGCAGATGCAACACTTAAACGAGGTCTTTTTTGCTTCGGCTGTTCACTTGTTTGCTCCTTGCCTTGACAAAGTTGGTTGGAATTTACAGCTGGGCCTTCCTCCCTTGAAGTCACTGCACAAGGTAGCGTCTCAACCTGCAGATTTTTCGCATCATCTTTGCATGAAGTCGATCCACGAGCATCTTCAAGGCCATCAACATCATATTCGTCGCTACAACTGTTTGTGTCCTCTCGACGCTCCCTATGACCACTATCCTGAGTTACATCAGACATCCCATTATCACTGCTAAGTTGATTGACAATCATTTCTTCTCTATTCAAAACTCCCAACCAAATGGAACTCTCTTTGGCACTCATCTTATCCTGCAAGCACTTCGACTTTCGTACATGGGTTTTGATCTTTCCAATATTGGGAGACATGTGTTTTATCACACCTGTTAGTACCCCAACCTTCCACACCTTCTTCAGGTCATGTGGCTTCTTATATGGGGGGCCTTGACCCTTGGGTAAGCCCAAACCTATCCACCAGTCTTCCTTTCCAGAAGGCCACCAAGGCGGGGGAACACCCTTCTCCAGTGGGAATTTTCTTTGTGGGGGATCACAGTGTTGCATCAATGACGACAGAAGAGATCCCAGTGTAGCATCTTGGAGATCCGCAAGGCTACATTGATTTTTGCTTCCACTGTTCTGTGCTTTATCGGCAGCAAAATTCTCTGCCTCATATTTAGCGATGGCAGAAGGCCCATTCTTATCAAACTTCACTTTCTCCTTCCACCAAGCTCTTATATTGTCTGAAGCACCACTTACAGGCTTTCCCTTCTCAGGAATGATTCCATATACAAACCCACGGACATTACACACCTCCATCAGCTTCAACATGTACTTCAGAATCCCATCTTGTGCTCTGGACATCTTTTTTCTAAGAGCCTGTTCAGATGGTTGCTTTGGCTTAGACGTTTCCAAAGCTGCTTGCTGGGCGGCAAGCCTTTCACGTTCCTTGATTCGCTTAAGTTTAACTCTATCTTTCCACATTCTTCTCGTCAACTCCTCTGATTCAATTTCTTCATCACTGACATCATTTTCATTGAGATTGTCGCATTTGACACCATCCACCTCAAAATCTGATGCATCACCACCTAAGTCCTGATCTATTACTGCTAGATGAGTCATGGTTCAGGTAACCTCAGGCCAACAAACCTTTTATCCACTCCAGTCAAAGACCTTTCTTCTCCATGCCTTTATGAAGCGGATTCAGAACCTATCAAGGATGTATCCCACCAAAAGGAAGTAAGCATAATAGAGTTTTGCATAAGTATTCAAAAAACAGCAACTCAAATTTTACCCACCAAAGGGAAGTAAACAAAAGAGTTCCGAAGAATAATTTGACAAATTAGCAGACCAATTTTTCCATCTAAAATAGCTTCATCATCACAAGCCACATTCCAGTGTTAAAACCACCCCCCAACAAAAGCAAGCTACGATAACTCAGGATAATCGACAAAATAGGCCTACATGATCTAAAGTTGCATCGGAAATAAAAAGGAGTTCCGACTAGGGAAATTTCATTAAACGCAAAATCCTGATACTACTAAAACTTCCAATTCCATTTCAAAAGGTTTCCTCATTTCGAGTCACCAGAGGCAGCTTTTTTTTCAACACGCACCGCAGATCCCAATAAACCCTTCCATCCATAAGGCCATCTTCCAATAGATATCTTGAAAGAAGCAAATATATCCCCAAAATCCCCTCTTTCTCAATCACCACAAAGTCCCATGTAATCTCAGATTCAATCGGGCTTACCGATTCAATCAACCACAATATCCATTTATTCCTTACAATAACCTAGGGATTCCTCTTCCTTTGCAAACAAAACAATCAAAAGGCGTTATCTTTTAGAAAAACCAGGCTGTCTAATTACGATTCGACGATCGATATTACTTGCAAAAGCCACTAGACAATCAGATTACTTATAAACCCCCAAAATCCAATACATATGGGCAAAGAAACGAGCAAATTGATTTCCGAGAAGGGTCGAGCGATTACCGGATCGAAGGTGGAGAGGAGGTGTGTTAGGGATTTCTACAGGAGGCAGGAGTCCCCGGTCGTCGGCTCCCAATTCCAACTTCTACCACTTCTTCTTCTTCCGCTATTGGGGAGGCGATGGTTAAGAGGAGGGGGAAGAAGGCGACGCCGATAGCGAGGTTGGTGTTGCCGGGCGAGGGCGACGACGACGAAGAGGAGGGGATCGCGTTGCTTTAACCGGCCGCCGCACGGAGTTGGGTTCCATTTTAATTGCCGGCCCACCAAGTTCAGTGGACCTTATTCGAGATACATCCCCCCTTAAGCCGACACTTTTCTACCACCGTGCTGTTTTCCCGATCCCCACACGCCTTGACTTGTGGAGCCCACTGTATTAGTCACCTCTTCCTGCAGTGAAAAGACTGGTAAGAAGTCGTGTAGGTAAATGGGTCCCAAACTACTTTTTATCCGAACATTCTTTTCCCGACGTGGAGAGATCGTCGTACCAAGTATTCTGGTTCTTAAAGTGTAGGACCCACAATTGGAGCCCTTCCTTTCCACAACTCACAAGTCAGGTAGAGAAAGGGTTAGAACCAGTGTTTTTTATTTAAACTCTCTCTCTCTCTCTCTTTTAATTTCTGATTTACTGGTCCAATGAACCCACTTGGATTTTTTTTTTCTTTTTCTTCTTTGTTTTTGTTTTTGGATCCATTTTCTGTCCCTTTTTTTTTCTTTTCCTCCCATGCATGTGAGGAGATTGAACTCAGCACCACAAAGACCACAAATTGGGTGGCTCTAAAGACTCAGTTGACTTGCATTTTGATCATAATATTTGTAGGGTTATGTAATGGGGGATGATTGGATGTGCTCCATTGATAGAAAGCTCTTCTTTGCCCATTAAAGAACAGCAAATTGGCCCTTCAAGGCTTCAAGAATAGCTTATCAATTTGATTTCATTCATGGGATTAGAGTTGATGTGTAAAATCAAATACCTTGTTATGCTTGCATTCTGTGAGCAGACAAAATAATCAGCCTGTTCAAAGACAGCTGCTGCTTCTTCTTCAATGTGAATTTGAATTCTGTAAATTGATGGTGTAGCTTCCTAAGTTCAGCACTACTTTTTCTGTGTTGAACAAAAGAGAGTCAGAGCTGCTTTGGCTTTACTTTTCTCCTCCTCTAACTTTTATGAAGGTAGCAAGTGGACTGTGTTCTCTCCACTGAGAGATTCTTCATCAAAGCTGAGTAGATGCTACACTTTGTAAGTTGTAAGTATTTACTGCTTCTTAGTTCCCAAGTTTTTAGATGAAGATTTAGCTTTGATCATAATCAAACATTACCATTATCCACTATTGATTAGCTACTAGTGCATGTCTAACAATTTATTTGAAGGATTAAACCTACCTACTAGAGTAAAAATCTGAGATATCACTGTATTCATGATCTCCTCACTATATGGAAATGGCAATTTCAGTTGTCTAGGGAATCTAAGTAAGCTTATGCACTGATTTCTGATGTGTGCATACATAATGATAAGATTAACCTAAGAAGTCATCTCTTTTGTTTCAGGACTGTGATAATTCAACTAAGGAATCTCTTGTATTATGAGACTGGTGTGACCCATTTTATTAATCTGTATCTTTGTGCATGCCCTCAATTATTTTCCTTTGTGACAAAAGCTTGTAGAATGGATCACATAAATGGTGAATCATATATAACTGTGCTATGTCTTCAAAATTTTTCCTTGTTTCAACTCTCTGGACTTATGTATGCTAAGAAATAGTCTCTATTTCTGAGGTTTAATTTTATAGATAAAAAAAGAAAAATTCCTTTGATTAACTGATACTAATATTTCATTCAAATTTGCATGGAATTGTATATTACTATGTTAAATGTATTGTAAAACAGATAAACTGCTTATTGTTTTATTGCATTGGTGAAGAGAAACACAGCAAGAAATTTTGAGATATTGAATGCCAAAAACATTGCCATCTTCCCACAAGAAGAAATGCAGTTGGAATTCAATGCTATTGATAAGAAGGAATCCAGTTCACAAACCTCCATTACCTATGAAAACCTTTTTGTCACACAAGAATAAGAATCTTAAAGTGGTCATGCAACTGGACATCAATAATTCTATTGACTTTCATGAAGCTGGGTACTAGTCTCATATGGCTAAGAAGTCAATGAGTTTGTCTATATACATTTTATTGGTGTAGAAATACCATACTGCTAGCTTAATCATTCTCCCTGATAGGAGGAACAATTGGCATGAGTAGTTCCAGGAGACATAGGGACCAGAAAGCACATTGATAATGTCTGGACATGGAAGATAACAACAAGGTGTACTGAACCATACAAGGAATGCATGGAGAACTTATGGAGACCTCACTCACAAGGAATTGTTGGTGGCCACAGCATGGCACAACCAGTGAACCACATCATGATGTTTTGTTAGATGAAGTTGTCAAATGAGAAGAAACAAATGATGATGATGATGATATTGCCAACATTGGATCACATGAAGGATGCATGATTTGGCCAATCATGAAAACTTGCTTCTCCTACTTGGAAGCATGATGATATTCCCAATACTATGTATCATGCTACATCATCTTAATTTTACTCAGAAGCATGATTTTACAAAGTTTGATCACTTCCCATACAACACACCATGGAAATAATTCCTGAGGTTTTGCTTCTTCAAACTTTTGAGTAACAATCTTAGTTGACATTTGCATGAACCCAAACTGATGATTTCCTTAACCAGAGGTTGATGCACACATAAGAACAATAGATTCTGATCTCATCAAGTGTCATGGACTGATTTACTGCTTCCTATACATATCCACACTTTTTCTCAGAAAAGACTTGTGATCTGATGACAACAGAAAGCAACAAAAAGGAAAGGAAACAAAACAAAAGAAATGAGTCACACTAAAGATTTACTGCAACAAAAAGAGCTCAGCAGAAGGCCTGCTCAGTAATACAATTTCCCGGATGTCATGGCATGTAAACCCAAGTTGTGTATCTGAAGAAGCTTTACGCTTATAATAGATCATATTTGTAATATCAGCAACACATGCTAATAGGTAAAAGCCCTGTGGACTAGTTTATGTAGCAGAATCATAGGTTGCAGCAGATGGGTAATAGCCCACTGATGGAGATGATGTCCAAGAATAGTTATTTGCAGTCTTGTTGGGCAGAATCTTTTTATCTGTGGAATAGCATTAGTAGCATGCCCCAATTCGGAAGCCGTCAAGAGATGTCTGCACAACCATGTCTATTTTCTTCTCCACAGTACAAAAAATGGAAGCTTGTTTCGTTCAAAACCGTCAAATATTCAGTGAAATCTATCATGAACTACAAAGAAAAATAGCAGCACAGCTGTAACAAAGCATGAGCTAAATGACATCACAACATTACTAATGCTTCCTGGCAGCATAGGTTTCATATAGATGGACAAAAGATTTAAGATCCATAAAATTTTTGGAAACAGAATCACCATGCACAAAGTTTCGATTCATCACAGTCAATTGATCATAAGGTCTAGAGAGACCAATGCATGCCGGGAACCGAATGGTCACATGCCCTACCTGAGCCATGGTCAAGGCACTGCCCATTTTCATGCGGAGCAAAACCTACCTGATGAGAAAAATGAGCATCGCTAGCCTCAGTTTCTTCTGCTAATCCCATTTCATGTTGGATTTCATGTGGGATAGTCCTGCCTCCATGACTTCTTAGCCCCCACGAAGTGGTAGTGGAATTACCAGGGATGACTGAACGGGTTGATGGAGGGGGCACAACAAAAGTGCTGTTTGCTGGGTTTACTGAAAGGTTTCTGGCAGAGTTGCTGCTCCACGAATGAGTTGACAGAAGAGAGAGAGCACAGCTCGAGTCAGAGACCCCTGCAAGAACTTCACCAGGTGGAAGTTCCACAGGGGAGCAGAAGTTCCCTGCCAGAGGACCCTGATAACAGGGACACGTACGTAAGAGAGCCGCATGGGTTGGAGCATCTAAGACCCCATGCCATTCATCGGTAACCACCCGATCACCAGCACGAGCAGTTGGCCAAACATCTCTTGCACTACTTGAGAACTTTGGGTGACTGAAGTCCACCAGAAAGCTTTTGAATCTACCAGGTTCTTCTGAGGACAAAGCATACAAATGGCAGTGTATCAGAAAGCTGCAAGGAGGGAAATGTAAATGCAGATACAGTAAGAAGCTTCTGACCATGAAAGGATGATGCAAACCGGCCATAGCATGATGCAAATGTCCCAGGAGGTGGCTTCCTGCGACGTTCATTGTGTCCAGCAAGTCGTCTACGACAACTGCGCTTTCCTTGGTCGAATTCAGGTAATAGATGAAACCTGTGATTGTGTAGCCATAGTAATAACAAGACAAACATTATCTATAAAGTTAAATATCCCAAAAAACAAAGTGCATGTTATGCTTTAAAAATATTTACCAATGATTTTAGGGTTATGCATATTATGCATATTATGTTAGCTTATGATCAAAGAATATAAATTTTTCATTTGGATGATAGATTTAGAAGAACTCTTGCAAGAGGGCCTAATAAATCCAAGCAAGCAAGCATCTTCTGTATGGTTGAGAAAAATTGCAGTTTAATTTACCAAACACCAAGCCTGTACAACCTACAGCTGACAACAAACAGTAGAAGTCTGGAAAACAGTGTCGATATTTCTCAGGATAGGCATGGGCTGCTTGGGGGAAGGAACCACCAAGTATTCGACCAAAAATAAATTACGCCAGAGCAGCTAATCATATTATTTACTAGAACAATTGAGAACTCGATGTATTTTCTTGCATAACACCGTCCCATTACATAAGTGGGATGGTCCCTACAATCACTGTAATCTGACAGCATACCGCTTAGTTATACTTAAACCCCTTCCACACCAATACTATAAAATTGATGGGCTAAAGCTTCAACTTTTCATCCAAAGAGAGCAGCAGAGGCATAAGAGGTGCCATTTACTTCTAATAGAGGCTGCTATACAAAAAGTGTAAATAAAATTTTCTTTTTAGAAAAACTTGTGAACACCGTCACAATAGAATGTGACAGAAATATAAACAGGAATTGACAAATGCAATGATCAGAGAGCAGAAATAGTAATTGGCCAAATGAATGAAAGGAAAAGAATCTATTTAGACATTGAACCATCATTTAAAGGGCTCAGACATCAATCAAGATATGAATTTTCCATTCTGGATACACCTATCGCACACATTTTATATCAACTCAACAGTTGCCCACTAGATATGAGATCTTCTGTAACAAGTGAAATTCTTTAATTAGCTTAAGAAGAAACCATATTGCTTCTTTCTATGGAGCATGTCCACAACCTAGATCTAAGCTTGTAACCTGACAACTCATGCACATAGTGACTAATTAAGATGAGAACAACATATAAAGATTGTCACAGTATCCTTATACAAAGATACACAGAGGAGACATCCAGATTGTTTCTTCGGAAGCAAACGCAAAATGTAATAGACAATCACTAAATGAACTTAACTTTCCAAAGTAGATGGATATCATAATTGGAAATCATGAAAAATGCATGCATTTGCACATTCATAACAACTTCGAACACATTCTTCAACTTGCAACCAGAAAAACAAAAGATACACTATGAGAGAAAAAAAAAGAAACATACAAAATAACCAATGTCCAAACGGCAGAGGATCAAACATATTAGTAAAAGCAGTACTGTTAAATCAAGCACACAGTAACCAGATGGGCGACCACAAAAATTACAATAATTAGGAGTGCGTGGAGGGGCATACTCTAATATAAATTATATTAAGAATGCCCAATAATTAATCTCAGCTACAATCAAGTTCAAGGCTAGCATGCAACCCCATATTTACTGTCTGATATATAGAAGTGGCAATTCCCATCCCAAACAAACAACTAATAAACAAATAGAGACAAAGTCTTTCAAGAAAAACATAGCCATGCAGTTTAACCAAAGGGAAAACTAAAGAGGACAAAAGAAATGCCCATATGAAGTGAAAATTAACATCCAGAAAACACGACAAAAAGGAAAGCAAAAACAACAATCCCCAAAGATGCCAAGATCAACCTGCATGAAACAATTTGCAGGGAAGAAAATGATATAAAAAGAAACTAGAGTCCATTATGGTTATCTTTTTTTTCTTAGGAAAAGGCCAGTATGAATGACAACAAGAACATGTAACCTCAAACCCAACACATGAAGGCAAACCAACCCTACATCAACATCCAAGGGCAGCAAAGCTTACATGAGTCCACTGACAAAATTAATATCAAAGATCGTCTTTTTCGTCAAGTCCTAACCCTAGAATCAGATTAAGAAGGGGCACATACGAGAAGTATCAATATTTTCACTGCGCCTACAGAAACACAACACCCGATTAGGGAAGCAAGACTGACCTGCTACACTGCTGACAGAACCTCTGCTCCAAGCCTGCAACAATCACCTTGGGTGCCTTCGAATGCATCCCACAAACTTTGTGCCTACAATAGTAAGCCTTAACCCCCGTCAGATCGGCATTGCACCCTTCCACCTGGCACCTAGGCGGTTGCTGCAGGCCCCCCTGCGCCACCCCCTTCCCCTTCTTCCCCGGCGGCGATGGCGCCGCGCCCTCCTTGATCGGAGCCAGAGGCGGCTTGGAGGAGCTTCCACTCCCACTCCCACCGCCGCCACCGCCATCCTCAAAGTAGATCTTTTGCCCAAACTTAAGCCCATGGAGAGTGTCGCCGGAGCCGGTCGAGGCCCCGGTGGTCTCGAGACACCTTTCATCCATCCGCAACGTTGCAGCTCTCTCTACAGCTTATCCATTGACTCAGAGACCTGAAAGCGGCCAGTTGGCTTCTTTGGAGAGAGTAAGAGAGACTGTGGGGGGCCTAAAAGGACGAGTTTTGTGTCATTCTGCTGCCCCACAAGCTGCCACTGCCATATTGACACTATTTGCTGCATCTTCTACAAATAAATAAATATATATATATATATAATAATCTTTATTAATTTATTTTTAATATTTTTAATAAAAATTATGTTTATATGAGATCATGATTTCCTCTCCTTAACAATTGTCTCACCTTCTTGCAGCTAAAGAGCAGCAAGAACAGGGAATCGGAAACCTGCATACTGTAATACCAAAACATGAGCAAGTATCATCCTTTCTTTGTACCTCTAGATGTCAAGTTATGGGCCAATCTACCGTGAAGGTATCCATCACTGCAATGAACTGATGTAGGAGGACGGATCAGGGGGTATGGGGACAGCCACCGTGCCATCAAGCATCTGAGCCACCTTGTGCATCGTCGGCCTCATCGACGGCTCCTCCTGGATGCACCAAAGCGCCACCTTCACGAACCTCTCCACCCTTCTCATGTCCAACGTCGCCTCCTCATCCCCTTCCACGAGCAAGTCCAGCCTCCCGTCTCTGAAGCGGTCGTTCGCCCAGAAGGTCAATATCGCCTCCTCCGCTTCTCCCAGCTCCAGATCCACGTTCCTCCTGCAGCATATGATCTCCAGCAACATGACGCCGAAGCTGTACACATCGACCTTGGCCGTGACGCCCGCGTTCTTGAACCACTCTGGTGCGACGTATCCTTTGGTCCCCCTGATGTCCGTCTTCGTTCGCGTCTGGTCCGTCTTCAGAAGCTTGGCCAAGCCGAAATCTGAGATCCTCGGCACCAAGTTGTCGTCCAGAAGCACGTTCTGGGGCTTGATGTCGCAGTGGATGATCTGGCTGATGCACTCCTCGTGCAAGTAGAGGAGGCCTCTTGCGATTCCAAGCGCGATCTGGACGCGTTGATCCCAGCTCGGCCTCACGTCCCCGGACAGTAATGCCATCAAGGAGCCGTTGCTCATGAACTCGTACACCAGAAGCCGATCCGTCCCTTGGCAGCAGAATCCCACCAGTCGCACCAGGTTCTTATGGTAGGTCTGCCCAATGGATATGACTTCGTTCATGAATTCCTTCTCTGTTTCCCTCGAGACCTTGTCGAGTTTCTTGACCGCCACACGAGTTCCGGCTTCGTCTTTCAAGAACCCCTTGTAGACGACGCCGGAAGCGCCACTACCCAGCACCTCTCTGAAGCTATTGGTGGCTTCTTCGAGCTCGGGGTAAGTGAAAGACCGCAGGCTCAACGTCGGCAAGCTCGAGGACGGTTGACGCTTATGCAACATCTTGTTGTGGACAAAGGACCAATAGGTGACGAGAAGTATCGAGATCATGAGCACACATAGGGAGACTCCAAGGAACAACGATCCCAGCAAAATCCAGGTCCTCTTGCCCTTCTCCTCCCCCGTCGAAGAGAAAGGTTGTGAAGTATTGTCTGTGGGAATTTTGAGGAACCCTCTTCTGTTGACATCGCTAGCCTTTCTCCCGTTGGACAGGGGAATCTTCTTCTTCCAGCAAGAACCACTACCGGCATCGAAGACGGCGAGTGCACAGAAACAATCTGTCAGGCATTCTTCTCTGCACTGGTCCTCCGAGATGGGCGAGTACTCCTCGTAATCGGATAGTGACCAATCCACGTCGACCAGCGTCCTGAATCCATACAGTGGTGCTGCCTCCGATTCGTCTGCATCGCAGCTCTGGGCAGGGAAGTCAGGCTTGCATCCTTTATACCTCCTGCTCGGATCCATGAAGGAATACTGAGGTGGGCACTCGCAGACGACGCTCGAGTTGTCGCTCGTCGTGCAGTAGCTATTGAATCCGCAAATACCGCTCCCCAATTTGAAGTTGGATGAACTGCAGATGTCAGTCGGCGTGAGACCCACCATAGTCCATCTATCCGACGGCCATGCACCATTTCCGGAGCCGTTCTTGGGGTGGATGTACTGTCTGAAGACTCCATCAAAATCCAGCGTTGCCCTCTGGTAGAAATCTTCTAACGATGACATCTCCACGGAAGTGATATTGATGTTGGTGTTGCTTTTTCTAGAAAGGTATACGCTGCCAGATTGGTTGAAGATGAGTCCCGTTCCATTACCGACGCTGTCGCTGCTCCAGTAAGGATCATACTGAAAGCTGGACGGGACGGCCACCGCATAAAGCACGAGATTGCCGTCGTTTTGCATGATGAGCTTGAACCTTCCCTCGGAATAATCCGTGTCTGTCAAACGGGACAGAAGCTTGGTATCCAGCTCCAGCGCTTGGGAAGGCAACATGGTGTCTGCGGGATCCTGAAAGCTCTGCCATCGGGGCGAGCCGTTGGCACCGGCAAGTATGAAGTTACCAGTGTCGAGCACGGCGGCATAGGCGGCGTTGCTGACGCCGGGGTCCCACAGCGAACTTCCAGTTCGGTCCTTGAGCAAGAGCTGCCCGTCGGTCGTCAGCTCCACACTGGACCCGGCGGTCACTGGTTTATAGGGGCGTGGGTACCAAGCTACGGTTTTGCTTTCGATCTTCTCGAACCAGACGGCGAGCAGGAAGCTGCTGCTATCTGTTTCGAGAGGACGGAAACCGAAAGCGAACTCGCCGGAGGGGGAGAGCCAGTATGTGTTTGGACCGGAGGTGGTGAGGGAGGACCCCAGGCTTATGTTGCTATAGCTTTTAGCACATGAGAGGCTAGAAAACGTAAGCAGAGCGAGTGCAGAAAGGTGCAGGAAGGAAGAGAAGGACGCCATCACCTATTGCTGGGACTCTCTTGCCAGTTCTCGATGCAGGATCTCGCCAGTGCTGCGGAGTACTTATGGAAGCCGTTGCCGGCCTGACGCCGAGAGATGCTTGGAACGATTTGACGACGTCTCTTTGTCTCGATGAGGATGCGACCAGTCAAACAAAGACTTCCAAAGCTTGTTTCTTCAGTTACCGTAGTCAAAGACTTCCATTCGCATACTACGACTAAGGAGGCAGCTTCTGACGCCGAAGCTTTTCCGGAAGCGGAATTCACGGATTTCATGTCGACTGTTCCGAATGACGTCACGCACCTCGGAATTGATCATAACGTTGACCAAGGGACATTAATATCCTGAAAAGTTAAATCCAACACGCTACGCCATCGTTACTGTCAGGAGTACCAGCCTACCCCCTACAAGTGGGCAGCTCAGGAAGCAGAATGCTCCCCTATAAATACCCTCTCATTCATTAGAAGGAGGGAAGGGGGGACACACTCCAAAACACTTCTTCTCTTGAAACCCCCTCCACATCTTCCTCTAACTTGATCGTCGGAGGGGTCAGGTCGAGCACCCCGACCCGACCTTTGTGCAGGTGCGAAGCCGAAGGTCTCCGTTGGTCCCGCAGGCCGAGACGACCACATCGTCCCGATCGGACACCGCCCCGACCTCCTCAGCGGGCTCGAGGAGCGCCCCCAGGGAGATCCCCGCCTTCCGGACCCGAACCGAGCCGCGACGGCCCAGAGGCCACGACTTAAACAGATGCCCCCCGCATCATTTTGGCGCTAGAATGAGGGCCCGGAATGTCGGGTGACAGCCCGCCCGCGTCGAGCTCCTCGGCTCCTCGGCCCCATGCGCGATCGGCAGCACCTCGGTTCCTCGGCCCCATGCGCGGCCGGCAGCACCTCGGCCCCATGCGCGACCAGCCCGCTACCTCGGCCCCTCGATCCCATGCGCGCGGCCAGCTTGCGTCAACCGCTCGGCTGACGGTGCAGCCCGCTGCCTCGGCTCCTCGGCCCCATACGCGCGGTCGGCAGCACCTCGGCCCCATGCATGGCCGGCAGCACCTCGGCACCTCGGCCCCATGTGTGGCCAGCCCGCTGCCTCAGCTGCTCGGCTGAACGGCGCAGCCTATTGCCTCGGCCCCATGTGCGGCCAGCCCGCGTCAGCAGCTCGGCTGACGGTGCAGCCCGCTTGCGTCATGCTCCTCGGTCGCACAATGCCCGAGACCACACCTGCGCGGTCTGTCCGCCTGCGTCGTGCTACTCGGCCGCATGACCATCGCGACCACACCTGCGCGGTCTGTCCGCCTGCGTCGTGCTACTCGGCCACATGGCCATCGTGACCACGCCTGCGTAGTCTGCCCGCCTGCATCGTGATCCTCGGCCGCATGACCATCGTGACCACACCTGTGCGGTCTGTCCGCCTGCGTCGTGCTACTCAGCCGCATGACCATCGCGACCACACCTGCGCGGTCTGTCCGCCTGCGTCGTGCTACTCGGCCACATGGCCATCGCGACCACGCCTACGCGGTCTGCTTGCCTGCATCGTGATCCTCGGCCGC